ATATATAAATATATATATATTATTTTTTTTATTATCACACTGGCCGACCCCCACCAAGGCAGGGTGGCCCGAAAAAGAAAAACTTTCACCATCATTCACTCCATCACTGTCTTGCCAGAAGGGTGCTTTACACTACAGTTTTTAAACTGCAACATTAACACCCCTCCTTCAGAGTGCAGGCACTGTACTTCCCATCTCCAGGACTCAAGTCCGGCCTGCCGGTTTCCCTGAATCCCTTCATAAATGTTACTTTGCTCACACTCCAACAGCACGTCAAGTATTAAAAAACCATTTGTCTCCATTCACTCCTATCAAACACGCTCACGCATGCCTGCTGGAAGTCCAAGCCCCTCGCACACAAAACCTCCTTTACCCCCTCCCTCCAACCCTTCCTAGGCCGACCCCTACCCCGCCTTCCTTCCACTACAGACTGATACACTCTTGAAGTCATTCTGTTTCGCTCCATTCTCTCTACATGTCCGAACCACCTCAACAACCCTTCCTCAGCCCTCTGGACAACAGTTTTGGTAATCCCGCACCTCCTCCTAACTTCCAAACTACGAATTCTCTGCATTATATTCACACCACACATTGCCCTCAGACATGACATCTCCACTGCCTCCAGCCTTCTCCTCGCTGCAACATTCATCACCCACGCTTCACACCCATATAAGAGCGTTGGTAAAACTATACTCTCATACATATATATATATATATATATATATGTTACGTCCCTGGCGGACGAAACAACTCTGTAAATGCCATAAACTGTAAATTATGTTATATTTACATAGCATCCTCATACTTAATTCTCTGAAGTGGACATCAGATCAAAGCCTATACATTCAGTTTATTTTTCTGATTATTTTTTTAAATTAGTGGAACTATATTACATGCATATGTTTTTCCAGGAGAGGACGTATTTAATTTTGCACAAACTCTGTTTTAGTGACCTATATTCTGAATAAAAAATTACTTGTGCCAGCTCTCAAGCTAATTAGTTTAAAGCGTAGCGGCTACGTGAGAGCCATCCCCTCCAGCCTGGCAGGTGCCTTGATGCTGGTGAGGGACTCTTGATCCAAGGAACTGGATTGAACCTTGTTGGCAGCTATTTTCCCAAACTCAGTATGATCTCTACGGGTTTAGCTCTCTCGGTGTAATAATTACGCGAAATCTCCACTTCATTGCTACACACGGACATCAAGAATATTTTAAATTCCAAAAGCAAGGAACACGGGGAACTCTGGGTATACGTACCCAGCTGGCGAGGGGCTCTTGATGTTAGAGACGCTGACTCTCCCTTTGCCTCTTAACAGAAACTAGGATATTACATCAATTTTCATTTTAATTCAACACCTCCCTCACTCCCTCCTAACATCTGCACATTCTTCCTCTAGCACATCCCGCATCGCTGTATGACCCTGTCGGGTTTAGCGCTTAATTTGTTTATCTTGACGCAAGAAATTTTAGCCACAATTCATTTCCTCGGATCGAACCTAAGTGCCTCAGGTGCATGACCCCCATGGGTTTAGTGCTTCCTCACGAATGTAATAACTAGATGTATTTGGATCACTGCAAGATCCGATGAATGTATCCCCGTACTGCATAACCCCAACCCCCTGCGTCGCAATGCCCGTCATGGTAACAGTGCAGAGTGCGACATAAGTTTTTATTGTTAAATATTGGCAATGAATACTTGAAAGAAAGCAGAAGGAGCATTCGTAGGTCATCATTAAGAAACATACATCAAAATTTGACCAATAAAAATGGCAAATATGCAGCCAATATATAATTCGAACCTTTCATAAGAGAGGAAATGGACCACTGTTCTAAAATATACGAACACATTACGCTTGAAGATGTTCAGGAGTTGCATTATTAAGTCATCAGTATAGAAGGACTGAATGTAATTGGATGTAACACTCAAAAATTAATGGCAGTATAATCAGTATTTTTAGGGCTCCACCTCTGGTGTAAATTGTGGGAGCCACAGCCTCGGAGAAGTGGATAAAAAGGCTTCCAGGAAGAATATTTGGATGTCTTCCTGAAGCCGTTTGAATATTCCACTTCCCCTACCACCCCATCTTTTCATTATTTTTACCAATAGGTATATTTTATTGCATAGTATGGTACAAAAAGGTTTAAGAGATACATTGTTGATATAAAGATGACATATACAGTACATGAGATGTGAGAGAGAAATTCAAAAACGCAAATTAGGGCCTACTCGGATAAAATCCATCCAGGTTTTCACAGGTGATATTCAGTACCTCTTAAGAAGGTAAGCTTTGTGTAATTAACATAATTTTTTTAACATTGTTCTTGGCGGTACACAGATTTTATAGTAACATAAAGAACATTAAATTGGTTTAACCTAGAATACCCAAATTAAGTGAAACACTAACTTTTATTCTAATTAAAAGAAACATTCTCCAGTTATATCACAGAAACCAATTTGATTAATAAAATAAGCAACCTAACATCAAGAGATCTGAGGACACATCAGCACTAAAAGTTAAAGTTGACCAGAAGATGTATTTTTCAGTTATAGCACAGAATCCAACAAAATTTGTGCCTACACAGTGCTAACATCTACTTCATACGACGCGTCAGCCATTGAAGATTGATGCCGTTTTCACTATTATATTTTTGTTATTTAATATACAGCCCATGGCACGGGAGGCGTTCTAATTCGATTTAAACAAGAGGAAGGTAAGTCCAGTTCCATAGATAAAAAAAACCTTCACGAGCATAAGAGAAAAATAATGCATTACGTTAAAATGCTATACTACACTATTATGGGCTTTAAAGTGGCGAAATGGGCGACTAGAGACTTTTCCCAGTAATCAGGCAGATACAATAATGTGGTAATGAGCTATGTAACATTGTGTATAGTACGGTACCCATGCATGCAGAGTCCTATTAATTTTACCCAAGATACATTACACTAGCGCTGAAATTTGTAAGCCGATTGAATAATAGGTTTTCAGGTGCCATAAGGTAATCAAAATTTTACTCAATTTTACTTAGTCAAATCTGCAAGAACACACTTGGATTTCAATCTCAGCTGCAGTCGAATTAGGAGACATCGTGTTGGAACGTTTGAAGCTAGGCTATGCTGGGAACGAGTTCCATAGCTTTGGTCGAATAGCATCTGCGCATGCCAAGTATTCATAAAATCTGGTTCTCGTTACCTTATACAAGAGTTTGAAATTTGAATCCATTCACATGAGAGATTCTCGAGTTTCGTGTGAAAGAAAAATCGAAAATTACGTTCCCAGTAATGAAGATGCTTACCTGAGCTTCTACCTACAGTGAATGTTCTCTGTATATTCTCTGGGTCTGTGATTTCACCTGTCTTGAGCGGCGCTATATGACCCTTGTAGGTTTAGCGCTTCTTTTTCGATTAGAACTAATAATCACTTGTCTTGAATGGAGATGTTAGTGTACAGCAGTATTCCAGTATGACAGAACAAGTGACTTAAAAAGGATGATTATTGGTATGGCATCCCTTGTTTTGAAGGTTCTCATTATCCAACCTATCAATTTCATCGCAGATGTGATGATGACACTGTTGTGATCCTTGAAGGTGAGAGCATCTGACATTAACACTCGCAAATCCTTCACATTACTTTCTCGCTCTGTTTGTGTGGTTAGAGTTTGCAGTATACCCAGTTCTAGCTATTATTTCCTGAAGTTTTCCATAACGGATTAACTGAACAATAAAGAGAAGCTGGTAATAATACTTCCATGGGACTCAAATGTAGGTGCAACTGTGTCACTGTGGAGTTACTTTGACCTTACTATAGTTCCTATTGGACAGGTAATGAAAAGGCAGCCCGTTTTTCTACCACGAGTTATACTCTTGCAAATTTGAACGTTACCAAGTGACCATAGTCTAAGCCATTGTTTTTTAATTTCCTTATTTGTTAAATATGTTACTTTATTAATTTTTTTTTTTTTTGCAACTCAATTTCAACCTAACTTAACTTTACAAGAAGTCGGTATTATTTGTAGATTTACAGAAAACGTTAATAAACTGAAGCTATGAATTATATAAGAAAATGAACGTAAGAAAACAAGATTAGTGTATTTGAGGAGGTGGGGCGCTACTGTTCCTGGCATGAGGTCGTCATCATCAAGGAGCTCCGCCGTGGAAGATGGATGCTCGCACACCGCGATACCATCGCAACTACCACCAGAACAATGCTGGGTCCCAGCTACCGTCCCTGTGGTATTCCTGTCCCAGCGTCAGATACAGTGTTGCCAAAGGTGACACCCACTATGCATGTACTAGAGGATTCCAAAGGATAACAATATCAGCGTTGGCATTCTCAAGAGTGTTCTCAGGCTTGAAGGAGAATAAGTATTTAGGAGAGAGAGAGAGAGCACACACACACAGGCAGACAGACAAAGACTACGAGGAGCTAGTACAAATGAAATGTTATATAATTGTTCGAATGTCACACGAAATAGAGAACAGATGTATATTTCTGTGCTAGCATAAGGATGAAGGAGTAAGTATGTATGGGAGTGAAATGGGAGGGTGTGTGTAAACGTCATAAAGTAACATTAATAAGACTATATAAGACTATGAATGAAACTTATGAATATAATAACCATGGTAAATAATAATAACATCGAGTATATATACGTAATGGGGTGTGGATCTCTCTGTACATTCGCTAGGAGCTTGTTTTATCCCTTGGTTTAAGGATTAAAACATTCTTGAATGGTGTTCAACAGGTTATATACAACCTTAAAGACTAGTGTAATTTATTGGCCATAAGCTCAATTAACCAGGCAGTCGCGCAGCCAATAATATCAATGAAAGCACTATCCCCTCTGGCAATAAGTAAGCAAGCAACACTAAGAACAATCACGACAACACGTCACTAATATAGTTTTGAGTGTTGGGGCGGGGAAGAGTGAGAAAGGGGTGTGGCTACGTCACTTGAACTGGGCAGGAGGTGGTAGGGGGTGGGCGGTGATGGGCGGGAGGTTGATACAGGTAAGGATGGTCAGTGGTGTGTGAGTGGCCAACCCACATACACCTCTTTACCGAAACTAAATTGCGCAACTGTTTATGCGTTGAGCTGCTTATAAGGCTCCAGAATCGTTGTAGAACTCCCACTACCACCACTATTACTGCTACTATCATCACTACTACAACTACTGCACTCTCGCTTTCGGGAATAATGGAATAGTATTTCCATGTTCGTCATTGTTGTGCATTTGTGGTAAAAGTATTTGTGTGGAAGATGGCAGCTAATTCCTCCTGCTACCGGCTGAACACTCGGCGAAATTACTGTTTGAAGGTTAGGCGTTTTTCTGAGTTTATGTATCTGTAACTAACAATATTCATGCTAAAATGAAATAGCTTATGCCAGAATAATTTAACAGGTTATGTTCAATGATATATTAATTCTTTATATGCATAATGACTGATGAAAAATATAGCAAGCTAAAATAATATTAACGATTTTGCTTCCGACATTTCTGAATAATTACACGACGGGGAAGGGCTCTTGATCCAAAACACTGATTTTATTCTGACTCAGAACTATCAAATTTTTCCTCCAGGTATATTCTTTATTGCCTGAATATGTTTGAATGTATAAGCATATACAGTACCTATTAGCGCTTAGTTTTCATAATAATTATATACATTACCTACTGTAATAATATTAAGTCAGTTAATATCACTACAGTATATGCTAATTTTACCATAAAGAAATTTTCAAAAATATTTGAATTATCCTCTCAGATTTCTTTTGAATAAAATTTACTAACTCTTTAACAATTTTCTCATATTTTGAATTTGAAGACAGAATTCCTTCACCTCTAAGCTCAGATATTCACTATAGTTATAGATCTACTAACTGTTTCCTAGCAATATATCGGTAGTTCTTTACCAGGCTTCCAGGTTACAATGTTTGGGCATTAAGGTGTCTTTATAGAATAACCCTCCTTGTAATAAGCCTCCCTGCAATAACTCTCCCTGTAATAAGCCTCTCTGTAATAATCCTCCCTGTAATAACTCTCCCTATAATAAGCCTCCCTGTAATAAGCCTCCCTGTAATAGCCCTCCCTGTAATAGCCCTCCCTGTAATAGCCCTCCCTGTAATAGCCCTCCCTGTAATAACCCTCCCTGTAATAATCTTCCCTGTAATAATCTTCCCTGTAATAAGCCTCCCTGTAATAAGCCTCCCTGTAATAAGCCTCCCTGTAATAAGCTTCCCTGTAATAAGCCTCCCTGTAATAAGCCTCCCTGTAATAAGCCTCCCTGTAATAAGCCTCCCTGTAATAAGCCTCCCTGTAACAAGCCTCCCTGTAACAAGCCTCTCTGTAATAAGCCTCCCTGTAATAATCCTCCTCGTAATAAGCCTCGCTGTAATAACTTTCCCTGTAATAAGCTTCCCTGTAACAACCCTCCATGTAATAACCCTCCCTATAATAACCCTCCCTATAATAACCCTCCCTATAATAACCCTCCCTCTAATAACCCTCCCTCTAATAACCCTCCCTCTAATAACCCTCCCTGTAATAAGCCTCCGTGTAATACGTATATCCGTCTTATGGAACAATAATTAAATTATTGTGATTTTATAATTTTAAACAAATGCTCTGTTTACCTCGACTTTAATTCTTGTCATCTCTAACACCCAGGACCTGAGATCAGAGCTTAAAAATATAGAAAATTCAGTTTACCTGTACATAATTAAATAATGTTGCTTGCTATATAGGTACTTTCTATTATGTATTTATAGAGTTCTCTGATATATATATATATATATATATATATATATATATATATATATATATATATATATATATATATATATATATATATATATATAATATATATATATATATGTCGTGCCGAATATGTAAAACTGATCATTTAGCAAGAACTCATTTAAAATTAAGTCCTTTCTAAAAAAATTCTCTTATACGTTTAAAGATATATTTTTTTCATTAATGTTAATGTAAAATTTTTTAATTTTGCTCCCAAAAAATCTTAGAAAACTTACCTAACCTTATTATAGCAAGAACAATTTATTTTAGCCCAACTCAACTAAATATATTTAAGATTTGTTTACAATAATTTAATACTAAACAAACACAGTGAAATATATTTTTTTCGTTAGGTTCAGAATGATTTTGGTGAAATTATTGCATACACAAATTTTCGCTTGTCCTATATGGCAAGATGAGCGTTGCTATTTAAGCCAAGATCGCAAGTTCTGCCTATTCGGCACGACATATATATATATATATATATATATATATATATATATATATATATATATATATATATATATATATATATATATATATATATATATATATACGCACACACACAAAGACATTAGCACACAAAAACTTTTACAGATATGAGAATCAAAAAGTCGAGCTTCAACAGAGAATCAGAACGGTTGAACTTTTCCAAGTGCAGACAAGAAGAGTTGCCACATAAGCTGCAAGACTACCATCACATCAAGAGCACTACGACCAGAAGTCTGTTATGGAGACGTGTGTGTTGATGCCACGGGAGATGCGTCTCCAGGAGACTTCTACCGGGGGGTCATTGAGGGTGGTAACAGCCTCTACCCTTTCCCAGGGTACAACCTTCACCCCTACGTCTGGTACCCTCCGTACAGACTACCTTCACGCCCTTCCGCCCCTCCACCCCTGCGACGTGAGTACCCTCCGTCTGTTAGTGCATTCGTCACTGACAAATCAGTTGACATGTGTGCTCAACATATGTCCCTTTAATGGATTATTAAGTGCCTATTAAAAATGTATCGGTGCTTGAAGAATTGTACTGCTCGACTTTGTCACACACACAATATTTGTGGCATAGCATTTGCCTGTCTTCACCGTTGGAACGAGATTTCCTTTTCCTCTTATTGAAGAATAATTAGCTCATGTGAAACTAAGATTCCCGAAAGCAAGTATCCCATACACGCAAGTATCTCATACACGCAAGTATCTCATTCAAGCAAATATCTCATTCTTGCTTTTAACAAAATATATTACATTTTGTGAATAGTACAAAGGTGCTCCTACTTATTCCTTTTATAGCATAGTTCCTTTCATCTGCATTCTCTTTGCGCTACCGTCCAAAGGATAGATAAATGGTGCACAATAAAGTGGCCACTTTGGAGGCAAAATTAAATTTTCCCGAATCCTGGAATTGGCTTTGAGTATATCTCTTCTCACTTGTGGTGGGATAAGCGAAGTTTTCCCCGTATTCAGTAAACAAAAAAATATACAACGTGAGGTGTGAGTCTGTCGGTCTATATGTGCTGAGAGTTTGCTTTAAATCAAATTTTTTGTGTTTAAAGTTTTCGTGATTGGTGAAATACAGGTGACTTACAGCCTTAATAATTAACCCTCGTGTAGACAATGACCTTGCATCGTAGTCTTGCTCTCGTGTAGTCAATGATCTTCCTGTACCGTAGTTTTGCCCTCGTATAGTCAATGACTTGTACCGTAGTCTTGCCCATGTGTTGTCAATTACCTTCCTGTATCGAAGTCTAACCCTCGTGTAGTCAATGACCTTGTACCGCAGTCTACCGCTCAAGCACTCATTGACCCCTTTTATACTGTAGATTGACCCTTGTATAGTCGATGACCCTCTTATACTGCAGCATGTTTCTCGTTTAGTCTCACCCTCATTTGCTCGATGACTCTTGTAGTCAACTTTAAACTCATTGAACCAATCCCACATTCCCCACTACTTCGTGTTTCATGTCATGTCAGTTCTTGTGCCGTCCAAGTTTATTCTTATCTCCATTTCCTATCAGATATACACAGTTTCTCATTGATATTGTTCAGCGCACTCTTTTCCTGTGCTAAACGTATGTGAACATACTATTTGTGATGAGTTCCTCCCAGAAATCTTATAACTACAGTATGACAGTATCCTCACACAAGCCTATAACTACGGTATCCTCACACAACCTATAACTACGGTATCCTCACACAAGCCTATAACTACGGTATCCTCACACAAGCCTATAACTACGGTATCCTCACACAAGCCTATAGCTACAATAACACACAAGCAAATAACTACAATATCATCACAAAGTCTTTAACTATAACATAATCACAAAAATGTATATCTACAATATCCTCAAACACGCCCAGAACGGCAAATATTCTCTCACAATTCTGCAAACTACGCAGCTACTTTCGAACAAACACTTTGTTTCAACGTTGCGCAGATTCCACTCGGCCTTGATGCAGAATTCTTTGCGTCTTTCATCTACGCACGGCTGTCTTCTTATATTCTTATCCAAGTTGTCACCTAACCTAACCTCAATCTGAATTAATCCTTCATATTTGCTACGTTCTCTCAGTAGCCTTGTCCGGTAATGGAACCCCATTATTATTATAATCAAGGGGGAAGCGCTAAACCCGGAGGATTATACAGCGCCTGGGGGGGGATGTGGAAGGCATTCAGGCTTAATTCGGGGAACTGGAGCACAGATCCAATTCCCTAAATCAAGAGCCCCTCACCAACATCAAGGAACCTTCCTTGAGGGGAATGGAACCCCAGACCCCAGTAGTGAGAGGCGCGACTCTCGCTACTGGCGTTCTCAGCAGCAAATTCATAATGGTTCACTATAGATCGAAACATCTTACAAGATGTCCTATCTAAATTATAAATTAGTTTGTCACAGCCTCGGTACTCTTGACTCTTATTCTTCATTGGCGTCATTAAGTTTCTCTCACGACTCTTGGCGTAAGTTTGCACCAGCACTGCAGACCAAGACTATTATAGATATTTTATGACGTTAGACTCGATTTACAGAACAAGCTCTTTGTTTTAAAATGTTATGATGATGGTCTACACAAAGCATTTAAAGATGAGGATAGTGGGTGGTAAGAAGGGCAGTGGTGTGATTGTGGGCGGTGAAGTGGGTGTCGAGGGGTGGGGGGAAAGGGTGTGGTCGGTAAGGAAGATGTGGGCGGCGAGTATATCGAACCGTTGCCCGTTAATATTGTCAGTCTAAGTGTACGCTAATGTGTCTTATTATGTGTTTGTGTGTAATTTTAAAAAAAGTAAACACTCGTGTACATTTGACAGGCTGTAAAACACACACACACACACAAACACACACACACACACACACACACACACACACACACACACACACACACACACACACACACACACGAGGGGTGAGTACTAAGAAGTAATGTCGACGACAATCGTTACATAATTTTCACTGCATTTCCGGGTGATTTTTTTCTACGTTATCAAATTTGTTCTGGAGGCTGGAACACTGATGGAAATGGAGCCTCCACTTGGTTGTCCTAAACAATGAAACACTGAGGGCGAAGGAACCTCCGCTTGGATGTCTTGAACGTTGGAACACTGAGGACAGGTGGTTCAAAGAGAGGAGGGGAGGAGCCTCTCTCTCTCAGGCTATCCTGAAGGGTAGAGAAACCTCCACCTATCCATCTATCTCTTTATTCATTTAGAGTCGTTTATTATAACTTATATTGAGTTCATCTCTCCATGGCTATAATAATAATACAGAATAATGCGTGACTTGGCCTGTCCTGTTTATTTACATCCCGCTGGTCCAAGACGGCCCTTCTATTTATTTGCCTTTCGCTGGCCTAAGATGGTCCATCTCGTTTCTTAATCTCGCGTTGGCCCAAGACGGTCTTTTTCAGTTCTTTCTCTCTCGCTGACCCAAGACGAACAGAAATATCGTCTAGCTTTATTATTCACGTTTTTCGGATTTATTTTAAGGTAAAATGAATTATGAAGGAAGACTGATAACTCAGGAAAGACCAACGTTAAAAAACAGGAATCTTTTGGATCATATTCCATGAGAAGTTTGATCCGTGGGAACTGATGGAGAAGTTCGTCCTCTTTATCAGACATCATTTCACTGTCGTAAAGACAATCAAATGGGAGATTAATAAAGGTACCTTAAACAGTGAAAATTCTCATGTATTTATGTTTAAGCGGCAGAACTTTTTATTACATCAAATGCATATATTTTTTTTCGGTTGTAGTTCTCTTTTGAACATTTTTCATGGATAGAAGACAGCCTAACCTAACCGAGAAATCTTTCGTAAATGTATGTGTAAAATCAACGTATTTAACTGTGGAAGTTAGGATGAGCTGGACGCTGGTTTGATCGGGTCACCTATTTAAGTTTAAAAGCAATACGTTGGACAACTAAAACCTTGAAAACAAGATATGACAAGCCAGTGATAACACTCAAGCTACTCGCTCTCTTTAGGCTGGAAAATTTTCTGTGTAATAACAGTTCCTTTCAAGGCAGGTGAAATTGATGAACTGGAAAATTTACATCCTTAATAGCTCATATAAACTCAGTCAGTAGCCTGAATTACTGGGAGCGCATGAAGTCTCCAAGAACTGTACTCATCAGAAAGTAGGTGAGAAAGATACATCATGATCTACACCTGGAAAATACTAGAGGGATTAGTTCTAAACCTGCACACCGATATTACTAATGAGCACAAGAGTCTTGGCAAACAGTACAGGATACTTTCTTTCAACACACCGGCCGTATCCCACCAAGTCAGGGTGGCCCAAAAAGAAAAACGAAAGTTTCTCTTAAATTTAGTAATTTATACGGGAGAAGGGGTTACTAGCCCCTTGCTCCCGGCATTTTAGTCGCCTCTTACAACACGCATGGCTTACGGAGGAAGAATTCTGTTCCACTCCCCCATGGAGATAAGAGGAAATAAACAAGAACAAGAACTAGAAAGAAAATAGAAGAATACCCAGAGAGGTGTGTATATATATATATGCTTGTACATGTATGTGTAGTGTGACCTAAGTGTAAGTAGAAGTAGCAAGACATACCTGAAATCTTGCATGTTTATGAGACAGACAAAAGACACCAGTAATCCTACCATCATGTAAAACAATTACAGGTTTTCGTTGTACACTCACTTGGCAGGGCGGTAGTACCTCCCTGGGTGGTTGCTGTTTACCAACCTACTACCTAGGACCAACCTACAGGATACATCTGAAGGAAAACGGGGAACACGATTTTTCAGAACCTTTCACGCATGTGGTAGATTACCAACAGTCTTCAAGATGGAAGTCGACAGATTCCACAGAACAAATCCTGATCAACCAGATCGTGGTGCTTACCGTGGATTGCGGGCGGCGGATACCAATAGCGGTGGACACCAGACCAGGCGGCCTGGTCTGGAACCGAGCCATGGAGGCGGTGACCTCTGGAAGCGACTCCATGTAGGTTAAATTCGGTTGCTTAGGTAGGTTAGGCTGCATGGCTAAATTAGACTGCTTGGTTAGGTCAGATTGCTGGGTTAGTTTATTTAGTTAGGTTCCTAGGCTAGGTTAGGATGCTAGGGTGGGCTAATCTAGGTTCCTAGGTTAGGACTGGTGCAAAATAAAATAAAAAAAAATTGTAACCGAATTTTAGGGTAGTCCAATCTTAAGAAAACAGAGTCTTATGGCAGGAATGGACTTGTCGACGAGCTAATGTATGATGCAACATTGATTTCTAGACGAATCTGATTGTCTCTTATTTCGGTAGACGTTGTCTAACTCCAACGGGTTCAGCGTTCCCCACATAAATTAATAAGCACAAAGAAGTTAAACATACATACGGAAGCACACATACACATATGCATACACAAATACAGACACATACACATACACCACACACA